TTCAATTCACGGTATTTATTCATAGCTACTTTTACAGTGTACTCAATTTACCGTATTTAATTTGGTTGTATTCAAACAATAAAAATTCAAAAAATTACAGGCATCTGCCACAAAAAATAACCTTCGGAATACATAAATACATGCAAAAATACAAAACAATTAACTGTATTTGCATTGAAAAATACATTATACACTTAAATTTGAGTGTATTTGTATAGAATATCATATATTTGTATCATTGTATGTGACTCAATAGCAAAGAAGAGAAGAAAGTTCGTTGGAGATGTGTCACGACCCCAAATTCCCTCCGTATGATGTCGTGATGGCACCTAGTCTCTAAGACTAGGTAAGCATATCAATGCGTAATAACAATAAAAATGTGAAATAAATAAATCTGAAATTCACATAATTACAACTCCCAAAATCCGGTAGGAATAAGTCACAAGCTTCTAAGAATTTTTCCTTTAAGGTCTCTATATATCAGAGTCTAAAGAAAATAAAGAAGCAATATAATAAGGATAGAAGCTGGGGACTCCGAAGTCTGCGGACGCTGGCAGATAAACCTCGAAGTCTCCGTACACAGGTAACTCATTGATATCTGGGCTAGTAGGAAGTACCTGGATCTGCACAAAAAGATGTGCAGAAGCATAGTATAAGTACACCACAACGGTACCCAGTAAGTGTCAAGCCTAACCTCGGTAGAATAGTGATGAGGTCAGGTCAGGCCCTACTGGAATAATAAAAGACATGGAGAAAAGTTTAACTATATAATCACAAGAATGACAATGGGGATAAATCAAGTAAGTAGTATGTCACAATTTAACTATACAGAATAAGGGCAATTAACACCTCGCGGAAGGGAAACGGAAATTTACAACTTTAAGGAAAACACCAAAAATAACCAAAGGCAATGCCGCCATAAAGAAACATTAACAAGGACACTCCCGAGATACCGCCTTGTAGTCCCAAATCATAAATAAAATATCTCATTTCCTTATATCACCGTGGGAGCCTTCACATTAAATTTTAAAGAAATCATTTTTCCCGAAATAGAATCTCGCGTTTTAGCCACGCTTATCACACCGCATGACTTCTAGTAGTTCCTCTACTAGCCACGCGTATCAAGCCACCCTTATCTCACCGCATGCGTTTCAACACCCAGACCTTATACCACCGCATGCGTATCAATATCACAATTTATCACAATCTCCACCTCAAGTGCTCAAATATTTCAAATTGCCAATATAAATCAACAACAACAATATTTTCCACAATAGGGAGCTCACGGCTCAATCACAATGAGTACAAAAATCTCACAAAATATTCGGGAATAAATAACTCAGCAAAAATAATATTTTCATAATTTTTAACACGTTGCCTCAATACCAAATTTAAAATATCAGTTACTTCGTATTAATAATATTTAAATTAAAGAAATTCAACCTTCAAATAATGCACAGAATAAAAGAAACCAAGTTTCAACTAAACAGGTAAAACAATTAGCAAGAAAAGGTCAAGCAAATTTAAAGTATAGAAATTAAATCAATGATGAAGAATATAACAAGATAAATAATTTAATTAATATGCAACAGTGATCTACACAATTTAAAGATATAATCTTCCACATTTAATCCGTGTACACACTCGTTACCTCATGACATGACTTTCAACACATTACAATTATCATATCAATACCAATCCTAAGAGAAATTTTTCCCACACAAAGATAGACAAGTCACTTACCTTGAACCATGCTCAATCAGTCAAGTAGTATGCCTTTTCCTCGATTTTCCGACTCCGATCGGCTCGAATCTAATCATAATTAATTCGATTCAATCAATACAAATTATAGGAATTTCCATAAGAAAACACAATTTTTCTAACAAAAATCCGAATTTTAACCCAAAAATCGTCCGTGGGGCCCATGTCTCAGAATCCGACGAAACTCATAAAATCCGACAACCCATTCAACCACGAGTCTAACCATACCAAAATTACTAATTTCCGACAACAATTCGACCCTCAAATCCTCAATTTTATCCAAGAGGTTTTTCTAAATCTTCCAACTTAATTCACCAATTAAATGTTAAAAACAACCATGGATTCGGGTAATTTGACCAATATTGAGTTAAGAACACTTACCCCGTTGTTTTCCTTGAAAATATCCCGAAAATCGCCTCTTCCTGAGCTCCAATTTGGTAAAAATAAAAAATGGGACAAAGTCCCATTTTCAGATCTTAAACATTCTGTCCAGGTTCGCATTTGCGGACAAAAACTTCGCATTTGCGAATGAACAATAACCTCCCATGAACATTGTCCGCAATTACGATAAATTGTTCGCAATTGCGAACTACACTAAAATCCAAAATCATCGCATATTGCGATAAATTGTTCGCAATTGGGAGTGAACAGTAACCTCCAATGAACAGTGTTCGCAATTGCGAATGAACAACACCTCACCAGAAACCAGCAAACTCAAACTTCTCCAAAATGATCTGAAACCACCCCAAAACTCATCCGGCACCTCTCGGACACAAACCATATATGAATTTCAATCAGAAAACACGCTACGAACCTGCTCACGCACTCAAAATACTGAAAAGAGGTCGTCTTGACCCGATATTGACCATGGTCAAACTCCCAAATTTCTTAATTTTACTAGTCTCTCAACCAATGATCCAAAAATACACCCAAGCCCCTCGGGACCCCGTCAAATCATACCAACAAGTCCTAAAACATCATACGAACTTAGTCGAAACTTCAAATCATATAAAACAACGCTAAAACCACGAATCATACCCCAATTCAAGCTTAAGAAACTTAAGAATTTCCAACTTCTACATTCGATGCCGAAACCAATCAAATCAAATCCGATTGACCTCAAATTTTTCACACAAGTCATAAATGACATAACGGAGCTATGAAAATTTTTCAGAACTGAATTCCGACCCCGATATCAAAAAGTCAACTCCCCGGTCAAACTTTCCAAAAATTCAACTTTCGCCATATCAAGCCTAATTCTACTACGAACTTTCAAATAATTTTCTGGACACGCTCCTAAGTTCAAAATCACCATACGGAGCTATTGGAATCATCAAAATTCTATTCCAGGGTCATTTTCACATAAGTCAACATCCGGTCAACCTTTTCAACTTAAGCTTTCAACCTTGAGACTAAGTGTCTCAATTCATTCCGAAATCTCTCTGGACCCGAACCGACTACCCGGCAAGTCACATAACAGTTATAAAGTACAGAATAAGAAGTAAATGGGGGAACGGGGCTACAATTTTTAAAACGACTAGTCGGGTCGTTACAAGATGACTTCTTACGGCCAAGCAAAATACTGCATATATTATATTAAACTAAAAAAGGGAAACAAACAAAATTCGGCCAGATCTGAGAATACACTAGTATCTACCAAAATTCGGTCAGACAAATAAAAATCCGACCATAATGTGTGTTTTGTTGTATTTAATTCGGCCACAAGAAATAAAATATACTCAAATCTGAGAAATACACTCAGATTTGAGAAAATATACTCGGATCAGAGAAATCCGGTTGGTTGGCCATGGATTTCAGCCAGCGATGACGACAACGACGGAGGTAATGACGAAACCGATCTGGATTGAGGAATTTGAGATACTAAATTGAGGATTTTTAATAGCGGGTGAGCGAATAAAGGGTACAAAGGAGAGACAAAATAAAAATGAGGACGGACGGCAGTGTTCCAACGGGCAAGGCCGGCGGTGGTTCTCCGACGAGATTGTAACACCGGAGAGATAGAGAGTTTAAGGGAGATGGGGGAGGCGGCTGAAGATGAAAGGAGGAAGAGAGGAAAAGGTTAATTTAAGGTTAGAAATCCCTTAGAGAGGGCATTTGCTATAAAATTCAAAATATGGCTATGTATTATAATTAGTTTAAAGTGTATTTATTTATGATAAGTATAGTGTATAATTTAGTTATACCATGTAAATTTTCAATTAGGAAGAGTTTATGTGTATTAAGGTGGGCCCAAAAGCCTAATGAAGTATCAACAATCCAAAGACAAACTTATCAATAAATTTGTCTGTAGAGTAAATTATCAACAATCCAAAGACAAACTTGTCAGTAGAGTCCATCGTTCTTGTGGGCCCACTGTAATGGCTGACATAATATTGCATCTGAAGACACGCGTAAGACACTAAATAAAAGAGTATATCAAAACATCGTCAAAATGTCCCACACGACAAAAATTTATCAAGATGCTACAGTACCAATACAAAATTAACCAATCAGAGTAGCTCAAAAATCTGCAATGTCAACTTTACCTTTTGACCGCAAGCACAATGACGACCGGAAGCTCTTGAACTCTCCTTTTTATTAAAAGAAATTTTGATAAACATCTATTGTTTAGTGGCTATTAACTTTCTATAATTACTATTCAGTTGTTACGGTAGTGTATTCACATGTATTCGCGATACTGTATTCATGAATACAACAACAAAAAGAGTCTATATTCGCGTCATGTATTCATAAATACAACAGTAAAAAGCGCCTAAAATCAGGGCAGTCCAGCTGTACGCGCATGTATTCACATGTATTCGCGCCATGTATTCACGAATACAACAACAAAAAGTGCCTAAAATCAGGGTAGTCCAGCTGTACGCGCATGTATTTACATGTATTCGCGCTGCTGTATTCATGAATATAGCTGTATGCGCATGTATTCGCGCGCATGTATTTATGAATAGAGTAACAACAATCCCTTAATAATAGAGAGGAAGAACATAAGTAACGTATTTTATGCCTTATTTCATGTCTCAATGATAGTATATACCATAAAATACTTATCTTGTTATAAAATATAAAAGTTAGTTATAGAAAATAATATTTTAAAATAATTTTGGTTTATAATAAATAAGACTGTTTTTATTAACTTGTAGGAAAAATAGTAATATTTGGAATTTGGGCCCGTACGGCCTTCTGTAAGCAGTTTATAAAAGGTCGAAACCTATAAATATATGGCTTTAGCACTCGTTGAAATATAAAACCCTTAACCCCTCTCCTCCTTGTTTGTGTTGAGCAAACTGGTGCAAATTCTCGATTATTGTGGTTATGAATTTATAATAATGGAATTGAAGAAGAGTTACAAGTGTGTCAAGTCTCTTGAGCAATTCTACACTGGAGGCCCTTATGTTGTTGCCTCGGATGGTTCGTTTATGGTATGTGCGTGTAATGACACAATTAAGCTGGTCGAGTTATCCTCTTCGATGATAAAATCTACAATAGAAGGCGATTCTGAACCAGTGACAGCTCTTGCTCTTAACCCTAATACTAATAATATCCTCTTTTCTGCTAGCCATAGTCGCCTAATTACAGTTTGGGACCTTTCCACCCTCAAATGCCTACGCTCTTGGAAGGTATGTACTACTCCCTATGTTTCAGTTTATGTGAACCTTTTAATATTTGAGGTGGTTCTTTGACTAAGTTGTTTGAATTATAAATTATCATGACTTATAGTATGAAAAATCTATGTCAAAATTTACTGTCAAAGTTATTAAGTTTGACCCTAGTAGGTTCACATAAATTGAAACAGAGGGAGTAGTATTAATTATCTTTCTTTATGTTGTTGCTTTGTGGAGAAGTGATACTAAATGCTAAAGGTGACCTCCTCTATTGAAGTGAATAACTCTTCACGACTAGCCAAGTTGTAGTTTTGAGTGAAAAAGAATAATGAAACATGACTTTGAGTGGCTGGTTTTTACAGGGGCATGAAGGACCTGTAATGGGGATGGCTTGTGATGCATCAGGTGGATTGCTCGCAACATCAGGGTCTGACGGGAATGTTCGCGTATGGGATGTGGATGGGGGATTCTGCACTCATCAGTTCCAAGGTCATAAAGGGGTTGTCACCACCGTTATGTTTCATCCTCACCCGGACCGCCTGCAGGTGATTGCCAATATTATCCAGTTGTTGCTGTTATACGTTTTATCATGAATTGGTGATGTTCTAGTGGCCTGTGACATCACTTGCAAACTCCATTTTGTATTAAGTGTTAGATATTGAGGATCAAATAAGAAAAAAGTTGTGAAAAAGCTCCTATTTAGATTTTAGGTGATTTTTGTTTTTAATCAAACTGTTCATCTTCTATACTACAATTGGCTATCAAGTAAGCCATTTTTATGTAGCTGTTAGCTGAGTCATTATGCTTATGCTTTCCTGAGCCGAGGGTCTATTGGAAACAGCCTCTCTATCCTCACAAGGTAGGGCTAAGGTCTGCGTACACACTACCCTCCCCAGACCCCACAGTGTGGGATAATACTGGGTATGTTGTTGTTAGCTGAGTCATTGTGCTACTTCTTCCACATATTTGCTAAAGAGGGGTTTTAATGTTAAAGTAACTGCTCCTAATCTTTGTGTTTCTTCTCTTCTTGTTGAACTAAGTGTTTTGTAATTGTCTATAGTTGTTCTCTGGTGGTGATGATGGTTTAGTAAGGGTCTGGGATCTGACACAAAAGGCAAAAAAGAAATGTCTGGCAAAACTAGAGAAACATCAATCAACCGTCACTTCCATGGCAATATCCGATGATGGATGGACTTTGATCACTGCAGGGAGAGACAAGGCATGTTCTCCATTTACTCATCTTTTTCTCCCACTTTTTATTTGACTGGTAGGTTGAGGAAATAATTGCTACTGAGGTCATAAATAATGTAACAAGGACTACAGTAAACTTTATCCATCTTGAGGCCTTTGAAAGATGACTCCAAGAATCTGAGCACAAAGTAGTAGCTTGAATCATGCAACGTATAAACCGGTATAGAGCTTCTAACTATCTTTACCAAAAAAAATTCCCCCTCGTCCCGGACAAACAAAAAAACTTGGATTTCCAGATTGATATGAAGTTATCAACAAGGACAGTCGACCTTCAGTATGTAAGGCTTGAGCATACACCATTGTCAACTTGCTAGACATGAATGTAGTTCCTTGACTTTTTGGTCTGGGTTGGGAGTTACCTGCGAAGGTATGCTCCACAAAATTTGATCAAGAGGGACTTGTAAAGTCAATGAGCATTTTTATATCCTGGTCTTATTGAGTACCTGGTATTTTTTTTCACGCTTTGTCAAGCGGGATTTATCTTAGTCACCAAAACAAGAAAATATTAAAGAATATCTTGTTGTCAAGTAGTTACCTGTATTATACATGCTAGGGGAGACTTCTAGATTGCAGGTAACTAATTGAATGTTTCTGTTTAAAATCATCAGGTTGGAAGTTTTTTTTCTTTTCTTTTCTAATTCTTTATGGGAACACCTTTAATGCCATTTGTGGCACTTGTTGATACTGATACTAATGACAGGTTGTGAATTTGTTTAACTTGCATGACTACGGCTGCCTGACCACAATACTAACACTTGAGTCAGTTGAAACCGTGTGTATAATTGGTTCAGAGTCTCCTTTCGCTGCATGCCTAGCTTCATCAAAACATCCGCAGGCAAAGAACAGAAGTGATGTACCATCAATTAATTTCATCACAGTTGGTGAGCGTGGATTGGTGCGGATATGGAGTTCTGATAGGTACGTGAGAATCACTTTAATGTTCTTAAGAAGATTGAACGTTCAACCCAGTCGAAACTTGAAAGATACAGGAATTCATCTCTTTAATTGCCTTCTCCAACTGCAGTTTCTTTGATCTGTTGTCTTCTAAAGTGTTCTCATTTATTGTTGATTTCTCTTGCAGTGAGTAACTAGAGTTTTCCATGTGCTACTCATGTGAACAGCTCTCTGGGAAATCATATTTTAGAGATAACCTATCCATTATCATGCCTATAATTTATAAATTCAATATGTATCATAGTAGACACTTCACTCATGCGATTCCTGCATTTCTGTGAGATATCATGACAACTTAAAATAAACATTAGGCGGAATGAAGGGGCATGATTTCCTTCTCAAAAAGAAAAGAAGAGGCATAGTTTGTGCAGATCTTGAGAATAACTTTTGGGCTCTTTAGTTTGATTATCCAAATTCAGGGAGAGACAATGTGAGATAGAGGGTTTGAAATGGGCATTCACTGTAAAAATAAATACTCAGAATTTGTGAAAGTAGAAGGTATTTAAGGCATCCATTACTTTTTATAGAAAGACTTTAAGAGGTTTATTTTGGTATGTAAAGAGGGAGAAGGAGGATCGGTGAATCAAAATAGTTGCCTATATTAGTGGTGTGACTAGAAACTCAGAACTTTAAAACCATTCTCTGTTCAATATTTTTTTTGCTTCAATCCTCCTAAAATACGGTGGCTTACTAAATCACTCGATATGCTTGTGTAACAGGGCACTGTGCCTCTTTGAGCAGAAAAACTCCGATATCACCATAAGCTCTGACAATGAATATTCAAAGAGGGGCTTTATTTCTGCTTTGATTTTGCCTGCAAGTCAAGAGTTGCTCTGTGTTACAGCAGACCAGCAGTTTTTTCTCTACTATCCAGAGGAATCTGTAGGTAGTATGAATCTACCTCTTAGGAAGAGGTTTGTTGGATACAATGAAGAGATTGCAGACATGAAATTTTTGGGTGATGATGAACAGTTCCTTGCCGTCGCAACAAGTGTAGAGCAGGTAAGTTCCTTAATGCTTTTCTGGGTTTAAACTATTGAGTAATGTATGGAATACTGCAGATAATGGTCCAGCTTGTTTGGCCCATCTTGAAGTTTCTCTTCAGAATTTGACATCCTTGAATATCTTTTCTCGAAATTAAATGAATGAGTTGTGGGGGGCGTGAGATCTACAATTTGACCCATTATTAGGTTATGCTTTATACTTTGTTATAATTATATGCATTTTCAATAAATATCAATAAACTAGTCTCTCGGCACACGCGTTGTGCGTGTACCGTCTCAAAACATATAGCTATTACTTATTAAAAATTGTGTTTGAGACAGAAAATAAAAGTTAACGAAAAAAGTATAAGTAAAACAAAATAATGATTGTTGATTCTATTTAGCTACATAGACCCTTGTGGTCCGGCCCTTCCCCGGACCCCGCGCATAGCGGGAGCATAGTGCACCGGGCTGCCCTTTTAGTCTATTTGGCTAACCCAAAAAGAAAAGGAACTCTATTTCATTTTATATTTCTCTGACACCTTGTTTAGTTTTATAATTACAAAAGTTGCTCAGTAAAATATTGAAGGCTCGTATTTTAGCAGGACAAAAGATGCAATCAGGAACTTTTTGCAACTTGAGAAGATCCTAAATTCACATAGAAAATATTAATATTAAATCCTAATATTAATCGTAAAATGTAACCAAAACGTATTGCATTAAACTATAAATTATTGCATTAAACATATCTCCATTTCCCTTATTCCCTACTCTTCTGATAAAAGCCTTAAGTAACCATTTTATGTTTTGCATCTTCAATCATGTTTCTGTTAAGGCTACATCTTTTATTTGTTGAATAGAAGCAAAATATTTTTTCCACTCTTCACAATGCCATCCTGAAGATAATTTGTCTTCAATATAAAAGCAAATATAGATATTTCTGTGACAAATAAATCGTTTTCTTGAGCCGAGGGTCTTCCGGAAACAACTTCCCTATCCTTCCGGGGTAGGGGTAAGGTCTGCGTACACTCTACCCTCTCCAGACCCCACTAGTGGGATTCTACTGGGTTGTTTTTTTGTGACAAATAAAGTAATGTAGATATTGTTGTTGTTGTTGCCTCTTGCCCTCTTACAATTTGAACAAAGAATATGACCGTTTCAGATCTCTACGTGTAAAAAATCATCTCTTGTGAAAAGGTCATAAAACTAAAAAAAGTTTGTAAAGGGCTAAAAAATCTTTTGTGAGAAGCTTTTTTTTTGGGGGGGAAATAAGTAGCAGCAACAACAACTAACAATAATAATTGATGTCTCTTGCCCTCTTACAATTTGAACAAAGAAAATGACCGTTTCAGATCTCTCTGTGTAAAAAATGATCTCTTGTAAAAAGGTCATAAAACTAAAAAAAGTTTGTAAAGGGTTAAAAAACCAACAACAACAACAACAACCCAGTGGAATTCCACAAGTAGGGTCTGGGGAGGGTAGTGTGTACGCAGACCTTACCGGCTTACCCCAACAACAACAACAACAACCACCTAGTGGAATTCCACAAGTGGGGTATGGGGAGGGTAGTGTGTACGCAGACCTTACCCCTACTTCGGAGGAGTAGAGAAACTGTTTTCGATAGACCCTCTGCTCAAGAAGATGAAAAGAGGCAGTGGAGCAGTAATAGCAAAGGAAGCAAAAAAGATAACGCCAACAACATAATAACCAGAAAATAGAGAGAGAATCAATAACAATAAGCAGTAATAATGGCACAGTACTACAGACACAATGGAGTAATATGGGTACAACAAGAGCCACTAGCATCCTAAGACAAAATTCTATCAGACTAGCCTTTTACGACCTAACATGCAACCTTAAAGAAGTAATATGGACACAACTGAAGCTACTAGCAGCCTAAGACGAAGCACTATCAGACTAGCCTCCTACCTTCTAACTTACAATCTTAATGCTCGACCTCCACAACTTCCTATCAAGGGCCATGTCCTCGGAAATCTGAAGCCGCACCATGTCCTGCTTGATCATCTCTCCCTAATATTTCTTTGGCCGCCCTCTACCTTTTCTCATACCCGTCAAGGCCAGCCGTTCACACCTCCTTACTGGGGCATCCAGGCTTCTCCTCCGCACGTGCCCGAACCATCTAAGCCTGCCTAGCTTCCCGCATCTTGTCTTCCATGGGAGCCACGCCCACCTTCACCCGGATATCTTCATTCCTAATCTTATCCAGCCTAGTGTGTCCGCACATCCATCTCAACATCCTCATTTCTGCAACTTTCATCTTCTGGATATGAGAATTCTTGACTGGCCAACACTTTGCAACATATATCATGGCCGGTCTAACCACCGCTCTATAGAACTTGCCTTTAAGTTTTGGAGGCACCTTCCTGTCACACAAGACACCAGACGCTGGCTTCCATTTCATCCACCCCACCCCTATACGGTGCGTACTATCCTCGCCAATCTCCCCGGCCCCTGGAAATTGAGAAGTTTTTTTTTAAATAAGTAGTATTATTACCAAAGTGACAAGGTTCAGTACAAAGAAATAGATCTGACCAACTAGGCTCAGAATCTGCCAATCAAATGTCAATCAAATTTGTATCCTAGCTTAATTAGGATAGAAATTCATATGCTCCAAGCTCCTTGCAATCTTCATCTTCAAGCTTCCTCGACAGAACACCTCTTGTATAACCTGCCTAATAATTGTTGCTTCAGGTCTCTGCTTTCGCTGGAAAATACGCTGGTTTCTTTCCTGCCATAAATGGTATATTGCACCAGCCAAAGACATTCGATATATCTCATGTTGCCCCTTCATACCTCTTGCATATGTGCTGCTCATTGCACTTCATTTTGCCAATTGAGATACCCCTGGAAACACCTAGCCATTGTAGCAAACTGTCCCATACTTTAGCAGAGAACACACAGTCAAAAAACAAGCGACTGTGGCTCTCAGACATAGCATTGCATAATGGGCAGGTCCCGCTGTCAACAACACCCCATTTTGCCAGTCGATCACGTGTCAAAAGTCTCTCCATGATAGCCAGTTGCAGTATAAATATTCATTTAGGACAGCCCTGGTTATTGCAAGTTAACCTTCTCCATTCCACTTTAATGAAATCTCCTCTCATCTCCGTGTAAAGCTTCTTGGAAACTGGGAGCAAGTCTACTTCATTCCACCAACAAGGGAACCCGCAACCGCTACCCTTTGGGTACGCACTGGGTAAATCTCGCTTCTGTGCAATATCCCGCAAACCACACAAGAGAGATAACCCGCACTAAGCAAGCCTCGTGCGACGAGCTCAACCCAGGTTTCAGACCTGAGACCTCATTATGGAAGCCCCATGCTCAACCAACTGAGCTACCTTGCAGGTAATATTATCTAAATATTTCTTGGCATCAAGGATTTTATGAATGATCCAAGATGGTTGCTTTACATTGAGCATCCCAAATAGAACCCCCTTTGATGTAGTAATTATGGATCCAAGCAACCCATAGCTTGTCCTTTTTAGCACATAAATTCCATAGCAATTTACATATAGCAGCCCTGTTCCAGCTTTGCATGTCTGTCAAGTTTAAGCCACCAGCACAAATGGGATAGCTTAATCTTTCCCAAGCAATTAAAGCCCTCTTTGACACATTAGTATTACTAGTCCAAAGGTATTGTCTACAAATAGCTTCAATGACTTTCACAATCTTCTTAGGGAGGATAAAGATTTGAGACCTGTACATTTGAATGGAAAGTAATACACTTCTGATCAGCTGAATTCTCCCAGAATAAGATAAAAACTTGGCAGTCTAAGAAGTAATTTTCCCCAACATTTCCCCAACATTGTGAGAAGCAATTTTTTATTCTGTAATGCTGTCTCTACGGGTCCCTATCATTTTCCAAACAAAAATTGTGCTGGGAGCCGGAATGTGCATCATGGAGAGCTTAGACAAAACCCAAAAGCGTAACATCCTTGTTCTTCTCACAAGGAGCCTAAGACTTCTATGATTGAATCATGGTCATCAATATATTCTAATTTACACTAATAACTAAAAAGAAGAATACAATTCATCTTAATCTTTTGTGTAGGGCTGCTTGTATCTTCAAAGCACCTTGCATTCCTCTCCTTCCATATTGTCCACCAAATAGCTGCGGGGACAATTTTCCATCTGTCTTTGTTAGAAGTAGAGTTCCCCCCTGTATTCCAACTTTCCAGAATTCAAAGGTTCTTTCTGGCATTGTCCACCTAATACCCCTTAGGTTGATGAACAATTCCCACAATTGCCTGGTCACTCTACAATGTAGAAACAGATGACTAATTGTCTCTGCATCTTGTCCTTATAAATAGCATCTAGAACAAATTGGCAATCCTCTTTTCCTAAGCTTTTCCTGAGTAAGTACTACTACTTTAGCCACCAACCAAGTAAAGCATGCCACTTTGTATGGTATTTTAACTTTCCATATTTTAACTGTTTTGAGATACCTGATTCAAATCTTTGTAGGCTGAACTTACTGTATAACTTGCATTGCTGTGCTTCTTCCATGAAAGAGTGTCTTCCCCCTCTTGCAATCCTCTGCCTTGTTAGAATTCTGCAATTCTAGGCAATTCCCAATTTTGAAGTAGTCTTCTGAATGTTAAGTTCCATCCCTGAATCCCTCTTACATCCTTCATTATAGCTCTGTAAAAATGTCGGGGAATAAAACCTTCAAGCATCCTATTCCCAGCCAGTTATCTTCCCAGAATAATATTTTCCTTCCATCCTCACATTAAATTTCAATTTGGATGAAAGATTTGGCCACAGGTTCCTAATTAATCTCTATAAACTGGTTCCATAAGGATTCTTCACCTCCCTAGTCATCCAGAAGCCTTTTTTTTCATACTTTGCTTTTATCACTCTTCCCCGTAGTGTTTGTTCTTCCCTTGTAAATCTCCACAACCACTTCATTGATAGACATTTGTTTTGCCTTCTCAGATTTCTCATTCCCAATCCCCCTTCTTGTTTACTAATGGTCTAACTCTTTCCATTTAACTAAGTGAAATCCTTTCTTCTCTTTATTTCCATGCCATAAGAAATTCCTTCTCATGACTTCCATTCTCCTTTCTACACTTGCAGGTGAAGGGAATATGGACATCATGTAGGTTGGGAGAGCATCTAGCACAGAGTTAATAAGAACTAGTCTACCTCCCAAAGAAATGTATTGTGTTTTCCATCCGGCTAACTTTTGCTCACATCTTTCCAGAACTCCATTCCATATTTCTTTGTATTTGCTTTTTGCTCCCGAAGCATCCCCAAATAGATAGTAGGAAAAGAACCGACTTCCCCTCCCAGAATGTTTGTCATGTTAGGCATCTCATTAACAGGATAAAATCTGACTTTTCCTCCAATTAATATGAAGTCCAGAAATAGCTTTAGAGAGGATAAGGATAATCCTAATATATTTTGCTTGACGTTCTTCTGCACCACACATAATTAGAGTATAATCTGCATATTGAAGGTGAGTAATTTCCAACCTCTCAACTTGACTACTTGCAACATTGAAACCCTTGATCCACCCATTGCTATGTGCAGTCTTCAATATGTTGTTCAGCCCTTGCTATTATGAAGAGAAAAGGTGAGAGGGGGTCACTCAGACCCCTTTGGGCCAAAGGGGAAACAACTTTAAATTTACAATACGAATCTTTATTGTGACAATCTGGACAAAATTAACAAAAGAAAGATATTTCTGCCGACAAATGGCGAGTCAACATTATTTGTCATTTATCAATGGAAGAAAATAAAGTGTAAAGTACCAACTTAATTGGCTCAGTGCATTAAATTGTTAGAATATTTCTGTTAAATATTTTGATGCAATAAGTATGACAAGTAAAATATTATTTAATATCTTATGAAAACAAATTTACCATCAAATAATTTGATTACCCTATCGATGAAAATGGTAACACTCACCGTTACGTTGTGTCAGCAAGTCATGATTGTGGATGGAAGTTTAGGCATATCCACCACATATTCCTCACACTCCCATAACTTTCATTCATTGTTCTTTAAAAAGTGGTGGACTTTCTTTTTGGATTGTCTCATGATCCTAGTTTATTGTCTATTATCCATTATGTGATAAGAAGAAAATCACAATTACGCTTTTATTTTCCCATGCTTGGTGAACTCTGTATTGCCCAAGATCTTGCCAGAGCCATTGGTGTTACTGCATGCACAAATATCAAGTCATCATGAACCGGGAAACAATTAATTTTCATGTTGACTCTATATTTTAAGAATAAGGACTACTTGTAAAATTTCATTTGCAAAAACAGAAATGACACTTGCTTAGAAAAAGAGGTTAAGTGGCATCAAAATAGTTGTGACTATTATGAAGGGGTGTTTTGATTATGTAGCCGTTAGTTTATTTAATTTTTTTAATCAAATAGGATATTTAGGTTAATAATTAGAAGGGCATTTTAGTAATTTAACTTGAAGTTTAAGGCTTCCAACTTTTAATATAATATAGATATAGATCAGAACTGAGGATATCCTCTCATGGTACATACATGCCTTAATAGTCTAAACAGTTCTTTGGTTTTTCATTTATTGTACAAGCCTTTATCTGAGTAGATAACATGCATACGCATTACCCCTTCCGGATTCATTTATTGTGACATAGATTTAGAAATTGCCTTCTTTGGTGTAAAATTGGTGCATGTATCTAAGTAATAGTTTAAATTTAGTTTGGATAAAGCATTCATGTCATCACACTTTAAATTAGACTCTTTTCTGAGGTTCTAAAATGTTGCATATATATACAGGTACGGGTATACGATCTTGAATCAATGTCGTGCTCTTATGTATTGTCTGGGCACACTGATGTTATTTTGTGTCTTGATACCTGTGTATCAAGTTCTGGAAGAACACTAATAGTAACGGGGAGCAAGGACAACAATGTAAGTTTGTCATATTTCTTTTTGCTCTTTAGACAAATATGCAGCATTTTATTTATGCCGTTTCCCTTTCTCTTATGTGCTGGTTTACCAAGATTTTACTTCACTATTCAAGATTAAAACCAATTTTTTCTGCTATTCTTAATTCTGGTGTTTCCATAGGTTAGGTTATGGGATTGCGAGAACAAGTCTTGTGTTGGCGTAGGCATAGGTCACATGGGAGCTGTTGGTGCTGTTGCTTTTTCAAAGAAGCAACGAAACTTCTTCGTGAGTGGTAGTAGGTAAGTGATTATCCCTGAACTCTGCATTGAGCATATCCTTCTTCTGCATATGCCTTTATAAACTTGTGGGGCCGGCATCTTATCCAAATTACATTTTCAGGAATCAAGATTATGTGTCCTAAAAGTCTATGTTTAGCATCAGTTTTGAATTTTGGCTCACAATTAGGAATTTGTAAAGGCGCAGTTTCGAGATCTCGTGCTTTTTAGAATATAGTTGATAATAGAGTCTTTGCCATGACCGTTGTCCATTACAACTAAAACTATTATGCATTGCAAAAAATATGGCCTAAAAAATTACAGGTGAAATGTGACTGTCTAATCTCCTAAAAATTGTTTTAGTGGTTCAAGCCTCCATGTTGTAAAGTGGATTGATCAAATCTCTGTGAATATTTATGCTATCGTTTGGCCCTTGAATGAGCCCATTTATCTCCTAGATACTTCGGTAATAACTCTCTTCTGAATTACAGTGCTCCTCTTTCTTTTTCTTTTTAATCTAGTTATGCCACTCTGAAGCTTCTGCTTGCTTGATATTAATGCTCCTCCACGGATGAAGATTAATGCTGAATCGAGTTTTCCCTCGGTTCTGCTGACTTGAGTTGATGTTTCTTTTACTGGTTGGATGCAAATAAGATAAAAATCGCCTTTGTATCTGTAAAATTTTTATTATTTAGCCTTAAATCGTACGTTTTTTAGGCTTCAAAATCTGTTAAATGATGATTGCTGAAGCAAAATTTTGTAGACGCATTGGTAGGCAAGACTTATGGCCGAAGGGGAGTTAATTAAATTAAGTATTTGATTTTTATTTTATATCAAGCTTTCTGTTTTGCTATTTATATTACTCTAGAATAAGGTTTATGTTTCCTAGTTTCTGAAGGATTATGTTTCCTGCTGCTTTAATAAGACTCCCTATTTAAAGGGGGATTTTGAACCCACGTCATATTTCAACCAAAATAAGAGATCAAAGTTCTCTCTTCCATTGAGCTCTAAGGTTCAACTTCCCTTTAACGAGCTGAATTATACTCAAAATAGGTCGATCTAAGAGCTCAAACAAATGGAAGGGAAATTCGACGTCAATAGGTTTAGATTTTCCTGTTCATCGTCCTATGACTCGATTCTTCTCTAGAAATCCTAACACAAACTAATCTAAATGTTTCTTTATCATATTTTCTAGAAGTTATATCTTTATCTTTCTACATTCTTCCAGTGACCATACTCTCAAGGTATGGAATATGGACGGTGTCTCTGGCAACAATGAAGAAATTATGACTCTGAAAGCAAAAGCAGTTGTAGCAGCACATGACAAGGATATTAACTCTTTGGCAATAGCACCAAATGACAGTCTTGTTTGCAGTGGTTCCCAGGTTTGAAACATTGAGACATCTTATTAAATCTTGGCATAAAAAGCTGCCAAAGGAGACGAATTTGCATTTTTTGCTTCTTGTATATTTTTTTATTCTTGTCCAATTTCGTCATATTTTACTAGGATCGCACTGCCTGCATATGGAGACTTCCAGACCTAGTGTCAGTGGTTACACTGAAAGGGCATAAAAGGGGGATATGGTCTGTGGAGTTTTCTCCAGTTGATCATTGCGTGATAACAGCTTCTGGAGATAAGACGATAAAGATATGGGCCATATCTGATGGATCATGTCTTAAAACATTTGAAGGGCATACATCAAGTGTGTTAAGAGCATCGTTTCTTACCCATGGAACTCAGTTTGTTTCTTGTGGTAACATGACATCCCGAAGCCAATATAGCTTCATTATGTTGATTTTTCTGTTTCTCATAGCCTACTTTTGCTAAAAGATATGACCGTCTCTCCAGGTGCTGGTGGTTTGATGAAGTTGTGGACAGTTAAGACCAATGAGTGTATTGCAACATATGACCAACATGAGGATAAGGTGATTAAGTATTTATGTTATTTAATTTAAATATCTATTCTCTTATAATAGAGCTATCTTTTTATCTCTCCATCCTGGAAAAACTAGTTGATCTAAATTAATGAGTCGACTTGAGCACAGTTAATTTGGTTTTTGAGCGCTGCTATGGTTGCCATTAATATAGCGACATTTGACTACATCACCAAAGATTCGATGAATAAATTTTACAACTGTCATTTGCATTTGGCTTACATTTTTTTGACATATGTTTTTCACACAAAGGATAATTAAATGCTGTTTTCTCCTCTAACTGTCAATCCAGATATGGGCCCTTGCTATTGGTAAGAAAACAGAAATGCTTGCAACTGGCGGTGGTGATGCGGTGATCAATCTGTGGCATGACTCAACAGCTTTAGATAAAGAGGAAGCTTTTCGTAAAGAAGTAAGTGTATCTTGAAATCATATTCATTGAACAGCAATTGTTGGGTGTTACTTGATAATTATAATTCTACTAAGGCATTAGTTTCTGTGGCAGAAAAGATGTTTTATGAGCGTTTAAAATGCCCCAGTGAGGTCCTAATGGCTTGATCACATTTGTTTCGTCTCTCAAATGTCTAAAGCAATTTTGGAGGGTGCTGCTTGTGCCAAAAAAGAAAAGAAAATGAAGGATGCTGCTTGTGCTCTAGTTTGTAATCGCATGCTGTTAGTTTACTTGATTAACGGTATAACCTTGTTATGTGCTTCTGTCTGCTAAAATCTTCGAGGGAATTTGAGAACTAGTTCCGTAATAATTTAAGATGCCTATGGGTTTACAGGCATATTATGAATATCGTGGATTAGTTAATTAGGTGCAATTAGCTATTATTTTGTTTAATTAAACTGAAAATTACTACAAAACTTTCATGTGATAGTGTTATGTTGCTTGTGCAGGAGGAAGGCGTTCTACGGGGTCAAGAGTTAAAAATTGCTCTAATAGATGCTGACTACACCAGAGCCATCCAGATAGCATTGGAGCTTCGAAGACCGCATGACCTTCTAGATATATTTGGTGAAATCAACAGGTAGTCCTGATTTCTCCATTTTTTTAAGTGATGGTTCTAAATTTGTCTTCCCTTTTTGGTTATTGATGGCTGATGTAAATGCTATTGTATCACTACTTTTGTCTGACATCTAGCTCTTGGCAGGGAGAGAGATGCTGGAGATCTGATAGGAAAAGCACTTGAGGCTCTTTCTAAAGAAAAGGTCTATTTGCTTTGGGAATATGTGAGGGAATGGAACACGAAGACAAAGATATATCATATTGCACAGTTTGTTTTTTCCCAATTGGTCAAGATTCTTGATACCGAGACTATTAAGGTACTATTGTCGTGTCTTCCC